TACTCTCACCCGTCCCACGCTGAACCAACCACTCACGGAGCTGCCGGGGCGTCTGGGTCTCGCTCCGACGCTGCTGGTGCTGGCCCCGACCACCACCAGGGCCTGTGCGCCGAGGTCCAGACCTACCACCACGGGTCCCACTGCCTCCACTGCCGCCACTCCCTCTGCTGCCACCACCGCCGCCACCAGAGCCTCCACCGCCGCCACCAGTCCCACCGCCGCCACCACCACCACCGCCTCCACCTCCTCTACCGCCGCCCCCACTACCGCTCCCACTGCCACCTCCACCACCACCGCTGCCTCCTCCACTACCCCGGCCACCCTTGCCCTTGCTGTTGCGGCGCTTCGCACTAGTCGAAGCAGCACCGACGTCCTCAGGAACAGAGACGTCTGCAGCAGTAGCAGAGGCGAAGGAGGGGGAAAGGGGGGGGGGGAGCACCCCTCAAAGAAGGGTGAGTGCGGAGTGCCACGAGCAGCACCTGTCAAACATGTATGCTTAGTTATATCTAGGCTTTGTTTATGTGTTTACAGTTGTCTAGGCTATAGTGGGTTTAGCCTTAGGGGGTACAGAATTTCTCTCGACATTCTACTTGTACCCCTCCCCCTTTCCTAGTCACCCCATTCTCGCCTACTTTTCTCACATGGTATTAAGAGCATTACCTTCCTAGGATCCTAACTTTAATGGGCCCACCACCTAAGTAACTGCTAGCCTAGGCCCCGAGGCGTCGCCCATAGCCCCTAGGCTCGGCCCCTTGGCCCGTCGCCCCTAGGCTCGGCCCCTTGGCCCGTCGCCCCTAGGCTCGGCCCCTTGGCCCGTCGCCCCTAGCTCGGCCCCTCGGCCCCGTCGCCCCGTCGATTCCGTCGACCGCGCCCGGCCCGTTCCTAGCCCCGCGATCGGCCCGTACCTAGCCTCGCGCACAGCCCCGTTCCTAGCCCCGCGATCGGCCCGTACCCGCCCCGCGATCGGCCCGTACCCATCCCGCGCTCGGCCCTGTTCCTAGCCCCGCGCCCGGCCCGTACCTAGCCTCGCGACCGGCCCGTACCCTGCCTGCGCACGGCCCCGTCTCTCGTCCGCGCTCGGCTCGTACCTAGCCCCGCGCCCAGCCCGTACCTAGCCCAGCGCATGGCCCCGACCCTAGCCAGCGCCCGGCCCCGTACCTAGCCCGCGCCCGGCCCCGTCTGTCGCCAGCGCCTGGCTCCGTACCTAGCCTCGCGCCCGGCCCCCCGTCCTTCGCCCAGCGCCCGACCCCGTCTCTTGCCCGCGCTCGGCCCCGTACCTAGCCCCGCGCCCGGCCCCATTCCGCACCCAGCGCCAGGCCCCGTACCTGCCCAGCGCCCGGCCCCGTACCTGCCCAGCGCCCGGCCCCATACCTGCCCAGTGCCTGGCCCCGTACCTGCCCAGCGCCCGGCCCTGTACCTGCCCAGCGCCCGGCCCCGTACCTGCCCAGCGCCCGGCCCCGTACCTACCCAGCGCCCGGCCCTGTACCTGCCCAGCGCCCGGCCCCGTACCTGCTTTGGCCCCTCGGACCCCCTAGGCCCCTCGGCCCCCCTAGGCCCCCCCGGCCCCTTGTTTGGCCCCGCGGCGCGCCCGGCCCCCTGGCCCCTTGTTTGGCCCCTCGGCCCCCTAGGCCCCTCGGCCCCCCCTAGGCCCCCCCGACCCCTTGTTTGGCCCCGTGGCCCCTAGGCCCCTCGGCCCCACCTCATAGCCCGGCGCCCGGCCCCCCGGCCCCTTGTTTGGCCCCTCAGCCCCCTAGGCCCCTCGGCCCCCCTTAGGCCCCCCCGGCCCCTTGTTTGGCCTCGCGGCCCCTAGGCCCCTCGGCCCCACCTCAAACACCGGCGCCCGGCCCCCCGGCCCCTTGTTTGGCCCCTCGGCCCCCTAGGCCCCTCGGCCCCCCCTAGGCCCCCCGGCCCCTTGTTTGGCCCCGCGGCCCCTCGGCTCCTCGGCCCCCACCTCACAGCACGGCGCCCGGCCCCCCCCGGCCCCTTGTTTGGCCCCTCGGCCTCCTAGGCCCCTCGGCCCCCCTTAGGCCCCCCGGCCCCTTGTTTGGCCCCGCGGCCCCTCGGCTCCTCGGCCCCACCTCACTGCACGGCGCCCACCCCCCCCCCCCCCCCCGGCCCCTTGTTTGGCCCCTCGGCCCCCTAGGCCTCTCGGCCCCCCTAGGCCCCCCCGGCCCCGTGTTTGGCCCCGCGGCCCCTAGGCCCCTCGGCCCCACCTCACAGCACGGCGCCCGGCCCCCCCCGGCCCCTTGTTTGGCCCCTCGGCACCCTAGGCCCCTCAGCCCCCCTAGGCCCCCCCGGCCCCTTGTTTGGCCCCGCGGCCCCTAGGCTCCTCGGCCCCACCTCACAGCACGGCGCCCCGGCCCCCCCGGCCCCTTGTTTGGCCCCTCGGCCCCCCCTAGGCCTCTCGGCCCCCCTAGGCCCCCCGGCCCCTTGTTTGGCCCCGCGGCCCCTCGGCTCCTCGGCCCCACCTCACTGCACGGCGCCCGCCCCCCCCCCCCCCCCCGACTCCTTGTTTGGCCCCTCGGCCCCCTAGGCCCCTCAGCCCCCCTAGGCCCCCCCGGCCCCTTGTTTGGCCCCGCGGCCCCTCGGCTCCTCGGCCCCACCTCACTGCACGGCGCCCCCCCCCCCCCCCCCCCCCCGACTCCTTGTTTGGCCCCTCGGCCCCCTAGGCCCCCCCGGCCCCGTGTTTGGCCCCGCGGCCCCTAGGCCCCTCGGCCCCACCTCACAGCACGGCGCCCGGCCCCCCCCCGGCCCCTTGTTTGGCCCCTCGGCCCTCCAGGCCCCTCGGCCCCCCTAGGCCCCCCGGCCCCTTGTTTGGCCCCGCGGCCCCTCGGCTCCTCGGCCCCACCTCACTGCACGGCGCCCGCCCCCCCCCCCCCCCCCCGACTCCTTGTTTGGCCCCTCGGCCCCCTAGGCCCCTCGGCCCCCCTAGGCCCCCCCGGCCCCTTGTTTGGCCCCGCGGCCCCTAGGCTCCTCGGCCCCACCTCACAGCACGGCGCCCGGCCCCCCCGGCCCCTTGTTTGGCCCCTCGGCCCCCCCTAGGCCTCTCGGCCCCCCTAGGCCCCCCGGCCCCTTGTTTGGCCCCGCGGCCCCTCGGCTCCTCGGCCCCACCTCACTGCACGGCGCCCCCCCCCCCCCCCCCCCCCCCCCCCCCCCCCCGACTCCTTGTTTGGCCCCTCGGCCCCCTAGGCCCCTCAGCCCCCCTAGGCCCCCCCGGCCCCTTGTTTGGCCCCGCGGCCCCTAGGCTCCTCGGCCCCACCTCACAGCACGGCGCCCGGCCCCCCCCGGCCCCTTGTTTGGCCCCTCGGCCCCCTAGGCCCCTCAGCCCCCCTAGGCCCCCCCGGCCCCTTGTTTGGCCCCGCGGCCCCTAGGCTCCTCGGCCCCACCTCACAGCACGGCGCCCGGCCCCCCCGGCCCCTTGTTTGGCCCCTCGGCCCCCCCTAGGCCTCTCGGCCCCCCTAGGCCCCCCGGCCCCTTGTTTGGCCCCGCGGCCCCTCGGCTCCTCGGCCCCACCTCACTGCACGGCGCCCGCCCCCCCCCCCCCCCCCCCCCCCCCGACTCCTTGTTTGGCCCCTCGGCCCCCTAGGCCCCTCAGTCCCCCTAGGCCCCCCCGGCCCCTTGTTTGGCCCCGCGGCCCCTAGGCTCCTCGGCCCCACCTCACAGCACGGCGCCCGGCCCCCCCGGCCCCTTGTTTGGCCCCTCGGCCCCCCCTACGCCTATCGGCCCCCCTAGGCCCCCCGGCCCCTTGTTTGGCCCCGCGGCCCCTAGGCTCCTCGGCCCCACCTCACAGCACGGCGCCCGGCCCCCCCCCGGCGCCTTGTTTGGCCCCTCGGCCCCACCTCAGAGCCCTGACCCCGGCCCCCTGTTTGGCCCCTCGGCCCCTATGGCGTCGCTTCGAGTTCTCCCGTTCGACCCGGAGGGCAGACCTGTAGCATTTGACACGTGGCACGACGATCTGCAACTGTACCTACTGAGCGACAGTCGGGACAGTGTCTCACTGTTTGACCACGTGTCCGATGCCGCTCCAGCCCCTCCCGCCACAGCTGACGTTTCGACTCGTTCCCAGTGGCTGTCTCGTGACGCTACTGCCCGCTTGGCCATTCGCAACCACCTGCCCGCAACCGAATGTGCTCACTTTGGCGAGCACAGGACAGCACAGGCCTTGTACGACGCTGTCGTTGCTCGCTACTCCTCCCCTGCCACTGCTGCTCTTGGCAGGCTGCTACTGCCCTACCTGTTCCCTGCGCTGTCGGCTTTTGCCACAGTAGCGGACCTGGTTACCCACCTGCGCACTAGCGACGCTCGCTACCGCGCTACCGTCCCTGCTGAGTTCCTTCCCACGAACCAGCCCCCCATGTTCATCACCCTCTACTTCATAGTCACTCTCCTCCCTGACTCCCTTCGCTCTGTCAGGGACCACTTCCTCACCCTCGACCCCACTTCCCTCACTGTTGACCTCCTCGAGCAGCATCTCCTCGCAGCTGAGACTAGTGCAGTTTCTGTAGGTGCTGCTCGTGGCACCCCGCGCTCACCCTTCTTTGAGGGGTGCTCCCCCTCCCCCCTTTCCTCCTCCTTCGCCTCTGCTGCTGCTGCAGACGTCTCTGTTCCTGAGGACGTCGGTGCTGCTTCGACTAGTACGAAGCGCCGCAACAGCAAGGGCAAGGGTGGCCGGGGTAGTGGAGGAGGCAGCGGTGGTGGTGGAGGTGGCAGTGGGCGTGGCAGTAGGGGCAGCGGTAGAGGAGGCGGAGGCGGTGGAGGTGGTGGCGGTGGTGGGACCGGTGGCGGAGGTGGAGGCTCTGGTGGCGGCGGTGGAGGTAGCGGAGGGAGTGGCGGCAGTGGAGGCGGTGGGACCAGTGGTGGTCGGTCTGGACCTCAGCGTGGAGGCCCTGGTGGTGGTCGGGGCCAGCAGCAGTAGTGTCGGAGCGAGACTCAGACGCCCCAGCAGCTCCGTGAGTGGTTGGTTCAGCGTGGGGCGGGTGAGGGTAATGAGACCTACCCGTATGTCATTCGCACGGGTGCCCGTGCGGGCAGGACATGCGGGAGGTTTCACACTGAGAGCCGCTGCTTTGCCCGCCTTGACGACGCCTGGCGCACTGAGTTTGGTGATGACGTCGAGCGCCCTCGCTGGGCGGAGTTGTTTAGGTCGGGAGTTGCTATCTTTGACCTAGACTTTGATGTTATTATCTCTTCCATGTATGCTTTGTCTTTTAGTGTTGAGGGTGACTGTTACTGGTGTGTGCCGCCTGACCCAGGTATAGCCGCTGCTGCTCTAGGTGCTAGTGCGTCTGGTACTCCCCCTGGTACTGCGCCTGCTGAGGCCCTGCACAACTTCACGTTGGACTCCGGCACCTCGCGCTGTTTCTTTCGTTACAGCACCACTCTCACTCCTCTTCCTGCACCTGTTCCGGTCAGACTGGCTGACCCCTCTGGGGGCCCGGTCGTTGCCAGTTCCTCCACTGTCCTCCCGTGTCCGGCGGTTCCGTCGGGCTCACTGTCTGGTCTTCACCTCCCCTCGTTCTCTACGAACTTGGTGAGTACCGCTACCCTTCAGGATGCGATGGTCACTACCACCACTCCTGGGGGTCAGCGTGTGTCGATCTGCACGTGCACACGGACAGGGCGTCACCTGGCTACGTTCACTCGTCGGCCAGGGTCGAGTCTGTACACACTGGCTACTGAGCCTCCTCAGATCGCTGCGTCTGCTCAGGTGTCCGCGTCAGGTCAGGTAGCCGCCTCTTGCTCGTGTCGCCTCCTGTCGCACCAGACTCTTCTTTGGCACCACCGCCTGGGTCACCCCTCCCTGCCATGCCTTCGTGGCATGCACTCCCGTCTCCTTGTCTCTGGTCTCCCCAGGTCTCTGCCTCCCCTGCCGCCCTCTCCTGCCCCGCCCTGTCTTCCTTGCGTCGAGGGGCGGCAGCGCGCCGCTCCTCACTCCTCCTCGTTTCCCCCGACGACTGCTCCCCTGCAGACCCTCCACATGGACGTGTGGGGCCCAGCCCGCGTCAGTGGACAGGGCCGCGAGCGCTACTTTCTGCTGGTAGTTGACGACTACACGCGGTACACCACAGTCTTCCCCTTGCGCACCAAGGGTGAAGTCTTTGCTGTCTTGATCCCTTGGATCCGCACGGTCCGTCTCCAGCTGCGCGAGCGGTTCGGCCAGGACCTTCCTGTCCTGTGTCTGCACTCTGACAGAGGTGGTGAGTTCTCCTCCGACCTCTTGCGGGACTTTTGTCGTGGGGAGGGCATTCTCCAGTCGTTCATGCTTCCGGACTCCCCTCAGCAAAATGGGATTGCTGAGCACTGCATTGGCTTAGTCATGGAGGTCGCTCGTACCTCCATGATCCATGCGGCCGCTCCCCATTTTCTGTGGCCGTTTGCGGTCTGGTACGCTGCGCATCAGCTCAACCTTTGGCCCCGTGTCTCCTTGCCGGAGACCTCGCCCACGCTGTGTTGGACGGGGAAGGTTGGCGATGCGTCGGTGTTCCGGGTCTGGGGTTCTCGTGCCTTTGTTCAAGATACGTCCGCAGACAAGCTCTCCGCCCGCGCCATTCCCTGCGTCTTCCTTGGCTTTGTCCCTGACGCGCCTGGCTAGCAGTTTTACCACCCCACCTCGCGCCGTGTCCTCCCTTCTCAGGACGTCACGTTCGACGAGTCGGTTCCCTTCTACCGTCTCTTCCCCTACCACTCTGCCCCTTCCCCGCCCCCGCCGCTCTTCCTTGCTCCCGGTCCACCTCCGGTAGACCCCCTTCCGCCCCAGGGTCCTGCTCCCTCGGGAGTGTCTCAGGTAGACCGTCTCCCTGGTACTGCGCCTGTTCAGGTAGCTGTCGTCTCAGGTGCTGCTCCAGGTGCTGCGTCTGGGGGTGCTGCGTCTGGGGGTGCGGAGCCGGGGGGTGCGGGGTCTGAGGGTGCTGGGTTTGGGGGTGCTGAGCCTGAGGGTGTTGAGCCTGGGGGTGCTGAGTCGGAGGGTGCGGAGCCTGGGGGTGCTGAATCGGAGGGTGCGGAGTCTGGGGGTGCTGAGCCTCGGGGTGCTGCTTCGTCTGGAGGTCCTGCTGGTGCTTCACCGCGACTGTCCTCGCAGCAGCTGCGTGAGTGGCTTGTTCAGCGCCCACACCGTCGGAGTGGAGCTCCTGTGGCTGGCGAGCCTGGAGACGCTGGAGCTGGAGGTGCTGCTGTTACTACTAGAGCTGGAGACCCTACGGAGCCTGGAGCAGTTGGCGCCGGAGGCGCTGGAGCTGGTGTAGCTGGAGTTGGAGGCCCTAGAGCAAGAGGCGCTGGAGCTGCAGGGGCTGGAGCTGTTGACCCTGGAGCTGGAGGTGCTGGAGGCACTGTGCGGCCGCGCTCGTACTTCGTTCCCCTGCTTCAGGAGGTTCTTGGTGTCCCGTCTTCTACTGGTCTTCCTCCTCCCTTCCTCTGTCCACCGCCTGACCAGTCGCAGCCGCCGTTACAGCCCGCCTCCCCACTGCCTGTTCCCTCTCCTTACACTGAGCGGTCTGGAGGTCTTACAGAGCGTCGTGAGCCTGCGTCTCGTCCTGTCTCGCATGTTCGCACTGCTCGTCGCGCTCCTCGTTCACGTCCTCCTCCTGTCCCGGGCACGCACACTATGGCACTCCGTCCTTCCTCTGTTCCACTGCGTGTTCCTCTGCCTGCTCCTCCTGAGTCCTCTCTTCCTGAGGCCCCTGACCCTGAGTCTGACCGAGCGCGTGCTGCCAGTCCCACTGTCGCTCGTCTCCTTGCCACTGCTGTCACTGACCATTCCTTTTAGTCTGCTGCTGCTTCTGCTCTCGTTGCTGAGCTGCTTGACTTTGCTGCTGCCTGCCGTCTCGACTACGCCTCTGCTCTAGATGCTGAGTCTGTGTCTGCCAGTCCTACGTCCGTCAGGGGTGAGTATGCTCTTGGCACGGACGTCCTTGAGGACACGCAGGAGGACTTTGAGTGTCTTGCAGCTGCTGTACCTCGTTTCGCTTCCTTGCTGCTTGCCCCTGAGGGAGACCCGGATGCTCCAGACATCCCGACCCCGCGCTCTTACGAGTCCTTACTCCTCTCAGTGGCAGGCAGCTATGGATGCCGAGATGGCATCCTGGAAGTCCACATGCACTTACGTCGACGAGGTTCCCCCACCTGGGGTGAACATAGTCGATGGCATGTGAATCTTCAGGGTGAAGCGGCCGCCGGGTTCTCCGCCTGCCTTCAAGGCGCGTTACGTTGCTCGAGGTTTCAGTCAGCGACAGGGAGTTGACTACTTCCATACCTTCTCCCCCACCCCAAAGATGACTACTCTTCGGGTGTTGCTGCACGTAGCTGCTCAGCGTGACTACGAGTTACACTCCCTGGACTTCAGTACAGCCTTCCTGCAGGGCAGCCTGCACGAGGAGATCTAGCTGCGCCGACCACCTGGTTTCACTAGGTCGTTTCCTACAGCTACCCAGTGGAGCCTTGCCGGCCAGTCTACGGTGCACTGGGATGCTGCGAAGAGGGTACTGCGTTACCTGTGCAGTACGTCGGGCATGGGGCTTGTGCTTGGAGGACGGGGTCCTGTTGTCCTCGTTGGTCACGCAGACGCCTCCTGGGTTGACGACTCAGCTACGCAGCGGTCGTCGCAGGGTTACACCTTCAGCCTTGGGTCCGGCTCTGTTTCTTGGCGGTCTACCCGCTCGTCTTCAGTTCTCAGCTCCAGCTGTGAGGCTGAGATCTACGCCGGAGCATGGCTGCTCAGGAGCTACGCTGGCTCACCTACTTGCTGACCGACTTGGGAGAGAAGCCTCGTTCGCCTCCAGTCCTTTACGTAGACAACAAGGCCATGATAGCCTTGTGTCAGGAGCACAGACTGGAGCACAGAACGAAGCACATCGCTCTGCGATACTTTCTTGCTCGAGAGTTGCAGCAGTGTGGTCAGCTTCGTCTAGCATACGTGGCCACTCGGGCCAAAACTGCTGATGTCTTCACCAAGGCACTTCCGCTTGGTGACCATCAGCGCTTTGTTACTGTGTTAGGCCTTGTGCCTACTTTGCCTCACTTACTTACTGCCTGACTCTGCCTGTACTGTGATCTATCTATATACCTGCATGCTTGCACTTGTTAGGGTATGATCACTGTATTGTTTGTTCTCTTTATATAACTCTGCATGTGAATTGGCCTTGTGGTCCTTTGCTTGTGCTTTGACTGTGTGGTGACTTTGTGATCCACCCTGAGCGTGCTTTGCTTTGCTCCTTCTCTTGACTGGTCTCGTGACCATCGCTTGTTCTGGCTATCCCCCACTTCGCCTATGGGGGTGTGTCAAACATATATGCTTAGTTATATCTAGGCTTAGTTTATGTGTTTACAGTTGTCTAGGCTATAGTGGGTTTAGCCTTAGGGGGTACAGAATTTCTCTCGACATTCTACTTGTACCCCTCCCCCTTTCCTAGTCACCCCATTCTCGCCTACTTTTCTCACAGCACCTACAACAACTGCACTAGTCTCAGCTGCGAGGAGATGCTGCTCGAGGAGGTCAACAGTGAGGGTGGTGGGGTCGAGGGTGAGAAAGTGGTCCCTGACAGAGCGAAGGGGGTCAGGGAGGCGAGTGACTATGAAGTAGAGGGTGATGAACATGGGGGGCTGGTTCGTGGGAAGGAACTCAGCAGGGACGGTAGCGCGGTAGCAAGCTTCGCTAGTGCGCAGGTGGGTAACCAGGTCCGCTACTGTGGCAAAGGTCGACAGCTCAGGGAACAGGTAGGGCAGTAGCAGCCTGCCAAGAGCAGCAGTGGCAGGGGAGGAGTAGCGAGCAACGACAGCGTCGTACAGGGCCTGTGCTGTCCTGTGCTCTCCAAAGTGAGCACATTCGGTCTCAGGTAGGTGGTTGCGAATGGCTAAGCGGGCAGTAGCGTCACGAGACAGCCACTGGGAACGGGTCGAAACGTCAGCTGTGGCGGGAGGGGCTGGAGCGGCACCGGACACGTGGTCAAATAGTGAGACACTGTCCTTAAGATCGCTCAGTAGGTACAGTTGCAGATCGTCGTGCCACGTGTCAAATGCTACAGGCCTGCCCTCCGGGTCGAACGCAAGAACTCTAAGCGAAGCCATAGTGGCGCAGGGCTCGGGAGCAGCAGTAGCAGTAGCGATGGGGCGGAGCCGAGGGGCCTAGGGGCCGAGGGGCCTAGGGGGTTGAGAGGCCTAGGGGGCCGAGGGGCCAAAGAAGAGGGCCGAGTGGCCAAACACGAGGGCCGAGGAGGCCGAGCCTAGTAGCCAAGGCTAGGGGCCGAGGGGCCGAGAGGCGGGGCCGAGGGGCCAAACAAGGGGCCGGGCGCTGGGCAGGTACGGAGCCAAGGGGCTTAGGGGGCCGAGGAGGCCGAGCCTAGTGGCCGAGGGGCCAAACAAGGGGCCGGGCGCGGGCTAGGTACGGGGCCGGGCGCGGGCTAGGTACGAGGCCAAGCGCGGGCTAGGTACGGGGCCGAGGGGGGCCTAGGGGGCCGAGGGGCCAAACAAGAGGGCCAAGAGGCAGGGCCGAGGGGCCAAACAAGGGGCCGGGCGCGAGCTAGGTACAGGGCCGGGCGCGGGCTAGGTACGGGGCCGAGGGGCCTAGGGGGCCGAGGGGCCAAACAAGAGGGCCGAGGAGGCCGAACCTAGGAGCCGAGGCTAGGGGCCGAGGGGCCAAGAGGCGGGGCCGAGGGGCCAAACAAGGGGCCGGACGCGGGCAAGGTACGGGGCCGGGCTCGGGCTAGGTACGGGGCCGGGCGCTGGGCAGGTACGGGGCCGGGGGCTGGGCTCTGAATTGGGGCCGAAGGGCCTAGGGGGGCCGAGGGGCCAAACACAAGGGGCCGAGGAGGCCGAGCCTAGGGGCCGAGGCTAGGGGCCGAGGGGCCGAGGGGCCGAGGGGCGGGGCCGAGGGGCCAAACAAGGGGCCGGGCGCGAGCTAGGTACGGGGCCGGGCGCTGGCTAGGTACAGGGCCGGGCGCTGGGCAGGCACGAGGCCGGGCGCTGGGCTCTGAACTGGGGCCGAGGGGCCAAACAAGGGGGGCGCGGGGGCGGGCGCTGGGCGAGGGACGAGGCCGGGCGCAGGTGTCGACGGGCCGGGGCTAGGTACGGGGCCAGGCGTAGGCTAGGTACGGGGCCGGGCGCTGGGCGAGGGACGGGGCCGGGCGCGGGCGTCGACGGGCGCGGGCTAGGGAAGGGGCCGGGCGCGGGGCTAGGAACGGGGCCGGGCGCGGGCTAGGTACGGGGCCTGGCACGGGTGTCGATAGGGCGCGGGCTAGGTACGGGGCCGGGTCGCGGGCTAGGTTCGGGCTGGTCGCGGGCGTCGACGGGGCGCGGGCTAGGTACGGGGCTGGGCGCGGGTGTCAACGGGGCGATCGCGGGCTAGGTACAAGGCCGGGTCGTGGGCTAGGTACGGGCCGGTCCCGGACGTCGACTAGGCGCGGACTAGGTGCGGAGCCGGGCGCGGGTGTCGACGGGGCGATCGCGGGCTAGGTACGGGCCGGGCGCAGGCATGAGACAAGGCCGAGCGCGGTCTAGGTACAGGCCTATCGCAGGCTAGGTATGGGCCAGGCGCGGGCAAGAGACTGGGCCGGGCGCGGGCTAGGTACGGGCCTATCACGGGCGAGGTACGGGCCGGGCGCGGGGCTAGGAACGAGGTAGCATGTGGTGGGCCCAAAGGTAACCTACTCTTATACCATGTTAGAGAATCACGAGAATAAGTGCATTAGGTGAAAGGGGGGGGTACAAGTAGAATGTCGAGAGAAGTTCTGTACCCCCTGAGGCTAAACCCACTACAGCCTAGAGAAATATAAACACATATGTTTGACAAACTTCTTCCATGCCGACATGCAAAGGGGAGAAAAATGCTTAGTGGAAAATGGGTGTTCAGAATCAAAACTCTCACAAATGGCGCATTGACAAATACAACGCACGATGGGTAGTTTGCAGCTTCGAATAAACTCAATTTGTTGACTATGACAAGACCTTCGCACCTATCGGACGACACACCTCCGTGCAAATTCTCATATGTCTCGCAACCGTGAAGCAGCGCCCACTCCGTCAGACGCCTCCTCGTCGCCTTGGCCCTTGCCGCTGGAGTTGTCGACGTCCTTCGTCGACGACGTCTTCTTCGCCGTCTGCTTCTCCTTGCGCGACTTCTCATCTCAACGGAGGCGACGGCTGGTCGACCGACTGCGGCCTCCCTTGTTGTCGTCCTCGTCGCTGTCGTCACGGTCGGGGCACTCGTAGGAGAGATGGTCGGGGTCGTGGCAGATCCAGCACTCCCGCCGTTGACCACCATCTCCACGGCCCTTGCCCCGCGTCGACCTCCTCTCATCGACGTCCTTCGTCGACCGCCCACCTCCGCTACCACCTCCGACCTGCTTCCCGCGCTGCTCCTGCTGAATATTCTGCTTCGTCGGTGCAGCGTAACTCGCCTGCGGAAGGAGCTCCGTGGGCTGCTTTGCCTCCTGCAGAGCCTCGTCTTGAATGATGTATCTGGTGAGGGAGTCCTCGTCCAGGGACTCACGCCGGGCACCATCATCATCCTCTTCATGAGGTTGTAGTTGCGCGGCGAGCCCTTAACGACATGGGTGATGTAGGACGCTATTGAGTATTCGACGCCTGCCATCCGCATCTCAGCCAGGATCCGTCGAGCACGGTTGTAGTAGTCCGTCGCCGGCTCCTGCTTGCCCATCCAAAGACATGTTATCTGCTCCTCCAGCTGTCCGATGTACAGGTCGTCCCTCGCCTGGTACGTCGACAGGATGAAGTGCCATGCTTGGTGACCAGCATCCAGTCGCTCTCGACAGC